TTTTGGATTAACTGAAGGCTTTTCAGTGAGTTTTTTGGACATCCTGATAATAATGAATTGCAGTAGTCCAGCCTGGAAGTAATAAATGCATGAACTTGTTTCAGTTCTGGTTATCACAGGTTTGTTAGGTTTGATAATATGGTTTCCCTGTGTGTTGTGTCTACTGTGTCTTTCTGTCCCATGTTTCAGGTTCCTAAGTTCTGTCTTCTCAGTTGCTGTTAAGTTTGCATGTCTAGAGTTCAGTCAGTGTGTTTCCTGTTTTACTTTGAAGGTCCGTGTCTCATGTCAGTGTTTCTAGTTTTGCTTCCCTCGTCTCGTCCAGCCTGATCACTCCCAGCTGTGCTCTCCTTCTGTGTCTCATTCCTGTATTTAAGCCCTGTGTTTCTCCTTGTCAGTGTTGTAGTCTCCCTCATGGCTGTGTTTCTCTGTGTGTCAGTTTATCCATGTCCCAGCTGATCCATGTCCCAGTTTAGTTTGATGTTTTTTGTGCCGTTCTGCAATAAAGCAGCTTTTTGAGTTTAATTCCTGTGTGGTGAGTTTGCGTTTGGGTCCTTCTCCTGCCTGCACACCGCCCAAACATGACAGGGCTCTTTTCTTTTCCCTCTTTTTAAAAAACATTAACACATAAATGAGAGTGTTTTGAAATAAGTCAAGAAATAAACTGTCCCATTCTCCTTTATTAAATGTATCTGTGTACTGTATGTATTCTGCCATGTTTAGTGTGTTTAAAGATTTCAAAAAAGGTTACACGTTTGCAGGAAACAGGAAGTAGGTTAAATAGCACATATTCAAATAACACATTCAACACACAAGCAATAAAAACTAAAAATTTACATTTTCTATTGATTTTAACTCGAAGTGCTGAATTAGTTATGTTGGTAGTTCAGTTCACTTCAATCTGTATCGCGCCAAAGGAAATCAAATGATGGTGTTTTTAAGGCGCTTCATCCTGTAAGGAAACAACTTTACAGTGTATTACTGTGAGTTTGTTGCCTCACAGTATTAAAAGAAAACCCAACAGACGAACCCCTCTGAGCGAGCACTAGGCGACAGTGGGAAGGAAAAACTCCCTTTTAACAGGAAGAAACCTCCAGCAGAACCAGTGAGGGGCGGGGCGGGGCCATCTGCTCCGACCTGTCATGGTTTTCAGAAATGACTCGATTAAAGAGCTATTATGATTTATAACCAGCCAATTTAAAGTCTCTAATTAGTTTTATAAACATGTTTTGAGTCTATATCAAGATCTCTCCACATTACAGAAACCTTATTTCGTTTCCTGGTGAACATTCGGCCTGTAAATGCGAAAAAACAACGTATGCGAGTTTTTAGATAGTTTGGCTGCCTCGTCTATGAAAATGTTAACAATTGTGATGTTGTGGTCTCGACAATCCAATTCCATGAATTCCAGAATGTTTTTTGCATGTTTCCACCTTTTACAGAGGGCTTTGAAAATCACCTTGTGGAAGTTTTTGAGCTTCTCTAAGGCAGAAACTGTCCTGACTAATAACCTGGCCTGACTCTTTTACAACCTGCATAACAAGTTCTCCCAGACAGTTTCCCACCAGAAATCTGTATTTTTGCAGTTCCAGTTGATAGATATTAAACTGGTTAACCCTTTCTTTCTTCACAAGGACTGATCCCCCATTTTTGATGTTTTGTGCTGTGACTTCTGTAGAGGTTGCTGTGTCATCACTGCTGACAGGGTCTGGATTACTCAAGGCAGTCTTGTTGTCTTCTTTTGCTTTTGGGTGGATATTTATGGGAATCAGGCTCCAATCGTTAAAGCAGGACAATTTCCTCATGTTGTTATATTTTTGGGGCATATGTCCCTCACAGTGACAAGTTTTAGCAGGGAGGGCCACTGATTTTTGGGGGGTTGGGCAGGCCTCAGTGCTACACCTGCCAAATCCGAGCACAGGTCCAACATGTTGCATATTGAATCTATAGTGGATATAGATCTGGGTGACCTGCCTGACATTTCTGCCACTGTTCTTTTGTAATGTTGTTTTTGTAACGTTCAGGAACGTTCGGCCTCACAGTGTTTGCTGTGGCATTTTTCAGATTACTCGTGGCTGTGTTATTTTTATGTTTGAATTTGTATTTCTTAGTTGAGAATTTACAGTCACTTTGTTGAAGGGTTTGAACTTCTGTTCATAGCTATATATGCTCTTCCAAAGGCTCCGCCCTCTCTTTTCAGTTTACCACATCTATTCTGTGACGTCACCCTGTATTTCAATGATTACTTCATTACCATTACCTCTGGAGAACTTCAAGACATGTTGAGGAGGTCTTTTAGGCTTTTAAATCAGCTGTGATGGATCGAGGACACATCTGGAGGCCTGGAGTTCGACACCCCTGGACTAAACCATTATATTTCTGTCAGGGGAGTTTTCCTAATTCTAACCTTCCATCAAAAGTCTGCAATAAACCATTTTCCTAAATAAATATATACAAACATTTTAAACCACAACAATTAATCATCTTGTGTGCAAATGTTATTGATGCAACTCTATGCTTAAAGTGCGACGCTAAACAAAGTGCTAGCTAAAGTGCTTTTAATAAAGTGCGAGGATGCTCCTAAAGTGCTGTTATAATACAAATAATAAGGGAGTCCACTTCCTTACAATATAGATAGATATATATACACACCTGTTCAAAAACACTTGAACCTGTTAAAGTGGCTGAGAGTGTAAATATAAATTGGGTGAGTTGGTGGTACAGTAGATGGCAGCATACTCACATAATGGACTTGGAAGGTCAGTATTTTGTAGTGATGGGAAAAAGGGACCAATCGAGCTGGTTCTCAATACTTTGATTTGCTGTCTGTAAATGTGCTGCTATCAGGACTTTGAGTTATTACATCATAAAAGAGTGAGAAACAAAAGCAGAGCAGCTGTCTCTAAGTATGATCACCAAAGAGTTATGAAACTATTTTGTTTGTTTTTAAAACAAAGTTTTAAGATGCCGGTGTCTTTCCAAGGCCTGTTGTTGTGAAGGCGGCTGAGCCGTTAGTAGGTAACTTACAGTGGAGTCACAACAGGCCGCAGACACGTGACACATCAGCTCACATTGAGGTGTTTTCTTTACAAAAATGAAAGTTGACATCACGGAGCCCCGCTCTCAGACACTGACGTGGATGTAACTGTCTGTGAACATGGCCATGCTTTAAGCACATATTTGTTTAAACCCGGGTTAAACAAATATGTGCTTAAAGTTTGAACAACATCTGGCGTCTGCGCGGACGTGACGTCACGTGGTTGGTTAACAGCCGTGCAGTAGCTCGTTCACTCACTAGTAGTGATGGGATTTCCGGCTCTTTTTAGAGATCCGGCTCTTTCGGCTCGGCTCACTAAAAAGAGCCGGCTCCTCTTTCGGCTCCGAACCGGCTCTTCAGGTTGTTTTGTTGCTTTAATTATTTAATCATTAACAATAATATAAAATTATGCAGAAAA